AATGGGTCCAAGGGTCGCCAAGGATCCGGGTTAAATTCAAAACTATTTACTGCTCGTCCTAATCCGGCCGCACCTGCTGTATTACAGCCTTTTAGTTAACAATCCGTAACTATGTCCAGGATTGGGCCATTCAACAAACGAACCCTCCACCCTCCTCCGCTCTTCTCTCCACCATGTCACGCATGTGATGGTGGAGCGAGCACTGTGGTGGGAGGCAAGGGTTGGTGGATCACGTAGAGATTTGCAAAACTCACAAACGCGCTGGGCTCTGCGTTGGCCAGGAAGATGGCAGCAGCACAGCAAGTGGGTTTGTGAAACTGTCCGTGCGGATGTTTTAGTTGTACCCCTTCATATGTGTGGTGGGTTTTCTCCAGGTACTTTGGCTTCCTTGCACAATAAATAGTAGGAATAATAATGGCACTTAATTATCCAGCCTCACTGAATTAAAAAAAACCTGTTGTCAGGAGGATCATGTTACATTTGGATGTTGGGCCAATTTGAGTGGCGATGTTTGGTTGGCATGGATCCTTGTACGATTAATGGAATGGGGTCCCTGTGTAATTTACCACTCACATTCGGTGCCTGGCGCCCAGGCCCCATCCGACTCCGTGGGCCTTGCTGCACTTGGGCTACCTGGAAACACCCAATACCTGCACCACTGTGCAGGACTCTCTTCAAAGAGAGTCTTGAGACTCAGCGAGGCCGTCAATGCTGGTGGAAGGGCCTTCGCTGGACAGAGCTCTCGAGATTTCCTCTGAAAGGGTATTTGGCCAACTATTCCACGGTGACCAGACGTTTTTGAAGAGGTGGGAGTACCCACACCTTACCCCACCACACGCGATTTGCCGATCTACCAGGTAAGGCCCACTGAGCCATACGGCTCTTTTTCAGAAGCGACCTGGCCACAAATGATATCTCAACTAAGTGGTTTATCACGTGGAAATTTATAGCAACCAAATAATATAAATGCACGTCGATTCTAAATGTGGAGTGAAAAACCGGAAGCACGCGGCCACAGGGAGAACACGCAAACTCAAAATATACAGCAGGCATCAGGGTCGGAATCGAACCCACGACCTCCTGTATACCAGGCGAGGTAGTTAACATCTCGCCACCGTGGCACCTCGTCTGTACCGCGGGGTGAACAGAGTTGGCGAGGGGGATTTAAGAAACTTGCACCATTGTTTCGAGTTCTGCGCCGGGAGGTGGAATCGAACCGGCGAACTCTAGAATTGCAAGCCCGGTGCGCCGCCTACCATTACAACCACGGCAGCAGCATCCCGTCCTCGATAAATAAATTGCATTATTATTTCACAAGAGCGCCACAGCTTCGAAGGCTCCCCGGGTAAATAAGTGAATATATTAAGCGAATGCAAAAGGCCACAGTTTTCACTGAGCTGTCAGTGCAATTAGGCGGCTTCAAAAGGGGGGGGGGTCTTTTTTTTAAGGATTATTATAATACACATGCTGTGCATACACTCTCTCGCTCTCTCTCACACACACGCGGGTCGCCGTGTGTACACACACATCGCACGTGTGTTTGCGTTACCCTTACCCTCATTATAGAATAAAGCTACGACCCCGTCGCGCACAGCATCTGGAGAGCACCGCTGAATGCAGCCGACTTATCTTCCACGATCTATTAGAGGCGGCTAAACTACCGGACGACGTACTAGGCTTGTGTGCCAAGTGGGTTAGCTGGTACCATCTGGGGTGGCAAAAACTCATCGTGTCCACCATAATCCGTGTCCACCATGGGCAGTGTTCACCATTAACAGAAAGCTTTTCATATATAGCATCTGTTTTAACACACACTTCATATATTGTCATATTCTGCATATCAAAGTCTTATATTATTCCAATACGATATACTCTATGAAGCATACAATACCTTTATTATACTTACATTTTCTAATAAAACACTATAACTCGACTTGCTATCACGCAAATTTGTAATCTAGAGATACAAAGCTTCAATGAAAATTGCTATCAGAATTTGCCACCCAGGGTGGTACCGAAAAGCCGCTTTGGGACAATGGCACAAAGCGCCACACAAGTTCCAATGATGGGTCCTTGTTCATGGCGATCCATTTATAGATACTCCACCGATTTCTCACGACTTTCTCAAATTGCAGGTTGTCAGAAAATCTCACCGGCTATGTTGGAACACAAAGTGTATCAGGAGAGTGTGAAACAATTTAACAAGAGAAGTGTAGAGGTTTTAAATGTAAATGTAGTTGTGTTATTCCTATCAATTCTCTGCTCAGAAGCGTGGAGAGAGAGATGGCATGCTTCAAATTACACTTACAGAGAGAACATGGATTATACAGAACACAATGCGGGTTAATGGAATCATCCACACGATTCATAACATTAAATGAGCTCGGGCAAAACACGTGTCACGGCTAGAATGGATTATGAACCATGGAAAAGAAGAAGAATAACAGAGTGGCAGCCAAGGAATGGAACGCATTGAGACAAAGGAGATGGAGCGATGAAATCAATTCGCGTGCAGGTTTGCTGGATGGATCGTTGTCTCGCAGTACCAAGAGAAGTGGCGGCGGCGGCTTGGGGGGGGGGGCATTCCTTCATCCAGCAGTGGATTGACCATGAACTGATGGTTGTGATCTAAAAATGTATCGCACTATATTGTTAAGTTCAAGCGCCCTAACCGGGCGCAACGCGGTCGAGTTGAATCCGCGCTCGTAGAGAAGCGGAGATGGGATGAATTAAAACCCACCCTCAGTGATGTGTCGAGAGATATTCTTCCCATCTCTAGACGCATTACGTTGCTGTGCAAGTCTAAATAAAGCTAAAGCTAAGCAGTACACGGTCATTGCACGGGAACTGCTGCACTGTACGGTAGGAGCTGTGGCGCAATGATTAGCGGCGCTGCGCTACGAACCCGGCAACACGAGTTCGATTCCTGTTCACGGCTAACATGTGTGACGAATATATGAACCAGTCCTGCGCCTCTCCATAGGTCGACTCAGCCTTAAATGAGTACCCGGTGCACTTGGGAGACAAAGGCAGCCAGCCGGGTGTGCCTTACCGGCCTGAATAGGTGCTCGCTAACTGCACTTGCCCCAATAGTCTGTGATTTGGGGTATACGGGGGATCTTTTTTTTGTCTGCCAGAGATTGGCAATGTGTACGGAATTTACCATGCCATGCAACTACAACAACAGCCACCTTGTATGACACTGGTTGTTTATCCGGCGCGATATGTATTTGCCTTTAGCAGAATGAACTCGGAATTCGTCCGATCTAAGCCAGGGTAGCCGAAGGATGGGTGACCACCGTGCGTTTACGGGTGTTATAGGCTGCTGACGGGCCTCCAAGTGGTCGGGCAGCGGATGAGGCAGTGCAGGAAAATCAATCGTTGTCCTTTACTCTTATGTACGCAGCATATCTACGCTCCAACAACTTCACCGACACCGCAATGACCAGCGTGGTGAAAGCATGCACAGGAAACTCCTCGCGAGCCGCATAGCGTGGGGGAGGCCCTCATCCAGCAGTGAATAGGTTGTGCATGTATTGGTACGTGCATGTATAGTACACGTGTAATCATGCACCTATCCGACAGTACCTCCCCAGACTTGTATTCCTAATGATGACACGTGGATAGTACACGTCCATATACAGTATGCACCTTAACTATGTGGCGGGCGGTAGTGTCGCGGTTAGCGCTTCGCTGCGCTACGAACCCGGCGACCCCCCCCCCCCCCTTCCCGAGTTCGATTCCCGCACACGGCCACCACCAGTGACGATTATCTGAACCAGTCCTGGATATAAAGGCGGTCGGACGTGGTGCTGGCCACCCCCTCGTGTGCCGTGTCGGCCTTCATAGGTGCTACTCGCGAAAAGCACGTGCCCCAACAGCATGCCAAGGGGGATCTCTGTCTGATACGCTCTGCATTTGACGCATGTGCGCAGCTTGTATGATGTATTTTATCTTGCATACTTGCACGTGAATTGTACACTCATATATTACACTTAAGCCTTGTATGGCATCTACCTCCACATACCACGGGAGAATGTTCGCCTGCACCCATGCTTCCTGCGCGAGAATCTTCTATTCGCCAGCATCACACTCTACAGGAGGTGAATTACTCGGTTGACTGACAATGATGACGATGATGGTGGGGGGGGGTACATTTGTAAGCGTGTATTACCGCCAGACTTGGAGTAGCGATGTGGAACTTGTCGGTGAAACCAATCAACCATTCACGTCCTCAATTGCGGGAAACCAGTTTAGAATACCGAAGTTGTCAGATATTTATATACATGGTGAATTCACGGTACATTTGTTTGTTCTAAATGTCATCTGTCTTACTCATTGAGCACATCATGAGAATTGAAATCACTCACTTGCATAGCCTTTGCAGGGGTACACGTCATGCACTTACATTCTTCCGTATACCAGGCACTTGCACGTACTTGTGTACTCGCATGTACACGTGTGCATTGTACGTCTCGACGTTCACTTGAAGGTGTATCTTGCATGTACCGTGTGTACATGTATACATACAAGTGTTCGTGCTGTGCTACATCGTGTACGGACAGCCCCTTTGCCACTCCACTGCTGGACGAATCCCTCCTCTCACGGCGTGTTGGTTACAGCGGGGGGGGGGGGGGGTTGTTTGAACATACTTCACCACATTGGTCAGTGCGGGTTGGTCAATGCGGCATGTTTATTTTCTATTTTCTTGCATGTGTATCATGAACTTACTTGCACGTTCATTGCACGTGTCGCCTGCCCGCGTGTACATGTATGAGAGTGTATGCATGTTTTATGCACTCGAACATGTGTGCGCGATGCATGTACACGGACACCACGTGTATGTACCTGCACGAACGTGTACGCACATATATATTGCATGCACGTGTATACATGCGTATGCATCTTAAGTGTACTCATGTTCGCATACACAACGGTGCATGTACAAGGCATGTTTGCATGTACATATGTAAACGTGTTATATTGTCCGCCTCCCTCACCTTGAGCCCAGCATTGGGGTGGCCGAGCTCCCAGCAGTATCAGCACCATCATCACCGCGGCGCGTCTCGTCATCGCCTCCGCCTTGACGTCCCCCACCATCATCATCTTCTCCAGGATGAACATCACCATCGCCATCATCACCACCACCAACCACCGCGGCCCGAGGTGGTCAGCAGCACGCGCCGCTGGACAGCTCCCCCGCCCCCCGACCCCGCTCCGGGGGCAGCAGCAGCAGCAGGGGCCGCGACTCAAACTTATGTGGGCTCCTCACGGGTCAATACAGTCTAGGGTCGACTGTAGCGAAGCGCACGGCGGGCTCGGCTTGACGGTATAGAGAGAGAGAGACGCCTCTCAGCAGTGTCGCCGCGGTCTTTCCATGGGAGAGCAGCGCGTTGCCCCCCCGTGTGCCTCTCTCCTCGTGTACAGTATCTCCACGTATCTCTTCTCTCTCCTCGTGTCTCCTCGTGTGTGTGTCTCTCTCTCTCCTCGTGTCTCCTCGTGTGTGTGTCTCTCTCTTTCTCTCTCCGGGTCTCCGCACGCTCCTGACGGCGACGGAGTAGAAAGTAAAAAAAGAAAAGTTGCTACGGAGCTCTTCGCCTCCGCGCTGAGCAACCTCCGCGGATTCTCACAGCGGCTCGCGTCTCCGTGTGGGGCGCACGGCGGTGTTCACCCGTGCCTCTCGACCACCCACTCCCACGCGTGTCTCCCGCGTCTCTATTTCTCGCCGGATCCCTCAGAGTCTCTCCTCCGCCAGACCCGTCTCGCCCCCGGATCCCTCAGTGTCTCACCACCTCCGCGTCTCCCCGCGCGTCGGTGTCTCTTCCTCTCTCCTTGGGATCCCCGCGCCCGGCACCGCCGCCGCTTGCCGCCTCCTTCTCCTCCTCCTCAACCGGGGACCACAGTCGCGACTGACACGGATGTCCCGCCTCCGTCAAGCAACTTCGTTGTCTTCTCCTCCTCCTCAGAGCTACCCAAGCCCTCTCACGACTTGTGTCTTCGTCCGCTGATGTTGGTGGTGGTGTCAGTCCACCTCTTTGCCTCACTCCCCCTAAATCCACTTCAATCCACCTCCGCGCCCTCACGCCGCCGCACTCCTCCTCACTCTCACCCCTTGCTGTTGGTGTCAGTCCAACTCCTCTCCTCCTCTCCTTCTTGGTGTTGTTGTTGTTGGCGGTTGTCAGTCCTCCTTCTACTCGCCTCACTCCATCCAACACCGACCTCCTCACTCCTCGTCAGTCACCACCACCACCTCCTCCTCCTTCCTCACTCTCACTCCTCCTCACCCACTTACCACCGACCTCCTCACTCTCACTCCTCCTCACCAAACTCACCGCCAACCTCCACCTCCTCACTCTCACTCCTCCTCACCAAACTCACCACCAACCTCCTCACTCTCGCTTCTCCTTCACCCCCTCGCCAGTCACCACCAACCTCCACCTCCTCACTCTCACTCCTCCTCACCAAACTCACCACCAACCTCCACCTCCTCACTCTCACTCCTCCTCACCAAACTCACCACCAACCTCCACCTCCTCACTCTCACTCCTCCTCACCAAACTCACCACCAACCTCCACCTCCTCACTCTCACTCCTCACCAAACTCACCACCAACCTCCACCTCCTCACTCTCGCTTCTCCTTCACCCCTCGTCAGTCACCAGCACCACCACCGCCGCCGCGGGCTGGGACGCGAGAGCCGCGCCCCCGCTCTATATTTCCCACCGCGGATGCGCGCGATCGGGCTGCCTCGGGACGCGCTTCCATTGGTCGGCGGGCGCCGCCTATCCCTATCCGCTCTGGGGAATCTACCGGCGCGTGACGTCACGCCCGCGCGAGGGAATTTAAGTGCGGGACGCGCGCGCGAGAAATGAAAAAGCGCGGGAAGAGCGCCCCGTGGCGGCCGCCGTGGGGAAGCTGAGAGGACAACAAATTCCCCTCAGAACTACAACTTCGCGCACACGACCGACCCCCTTACATTTATTTATATACATTTTGCACAGAAAACATTCACAAATTCAGCAGCAGCCACGGTCAATCCACCGCTGGATGAGGGCGTCCCCGAATGAGCATACGCGCCCTCGCTGGTGACATTCCTCCAGCATAAATAAATATTCTAATATTGTCCATAGGTAGTGTAACTACTCGGTAATTTTTGAATCGGCTTTCTCAATTGTATTCCAGCTAAATGTCATGAGGCCTAGTATTATCCATTCGAAACCATTGCTGTAGTAAGCAGTGCATCAACCCCGTGTGTCTCGCGGAAGAGGATAACTCGGGACTTCTGAGATGCTTTCAATTATAATTTGTAGCGTTTACCGCCGTACTTGGCCACACGTCCCAAGCTGCTAAATGATCATCTCACAACTAACATTCATTCATCTTGACGGAGGCGAAATGAGTCCCCTCAGAACCAGCCCGGGGTCTGCCCGGCACACCACTTCCAGTATATGCGTCCCCTCAGGCGACGAGTAAGGTCCCAGTAATCATACAAACGTTGGGCCAACGTTCGTATGTTTACTAAGGTGCCACCTGCTGCATTCTACCTTCACCAGCGACTGAAACCCGACAGGACACATTCACGAGTTGACATCGTTAGCAGCAGCAGCAGTGGTCGATCCACTGCTGGATGCAGGTCTCCCCAAGCCATCGCCGTCTCTCAATAATCGTGCAACCCTTCAATAATCCACCCAGCAACTCCACACACGAGCCGATATCACAACAGTGGCTTTGTGAACCCACCGGAATGTTACTCAAACATCACGCAATTTTCCGTATACATTTTATTGTTTTTTTTTTACAAATAAAAACGTTAAAATTAATTCCTCGTTTGCCTGGTGTGCCTTCCGTATGGTGTACTATTTGCGAATTACATCATCTTACGTTTGGTATAAATTCAAATGTACATTGATAAGGTTTATGATGTTATCAGTTACCCACAGGATTTAAAGGCCCCCCCCCCCCCCACCGTGTGTTGCGCCTACGGGCAAACAATGACGTTCGTAGCGAAGCGAATCCATTTACAATTCGCCTTCTCCTTCCCATATCTGTCCTTCCACATAAACAACAATACTGTACACTGTTTTTTTTCATATCCCATCAGTCACACGGCATTCCATCTGGGAGTGCACGGCTCCAGCAGCATTGGGTTCAGAACCAGAATGTTTATTTGTACTGGAGGAATCCGATGAGCTATAAAGCTCTTTTTCAACATGTGTCCAGTAGGGGCGGGTAAGAACGTTACAACAACAAACAGCACAAACACATGATGGTAGTGCAAAGTACACGAAAGGTAAACAAATCACACATACATATAGAACTAAACCATTCCCCATCCCACCAGGCAAAGCCAAGTGAGATACAGTATTAACTTATTTTTCAAAGGTGACCTGGCCACACGTGATAGCTCAACAAAGTGGCCCATCATTTGGACATTTATAGCACAAAAATAATCTAAATAATCTCAGTGCATGTTCCTAAATGTGGAGGGGATACACCCGAAGGACCCGGAGAAAAAAAATCCACGCGGCCACGGGGAGACCCTCGCGCTGGTTTCGACATTTAGTGTCTCATCAGCAGGGTCACGGCGTGCTTGAACCAACTGTGAACTGTCAAATGTTTACAGCCAGGGATTGGTTTCGACATTTAGTGTCTCATCAGCAGGGTCAGAGCTTGCTTGAACCAACTGTCTGCGAACTGTCAAATGTTTACAGCCAAGGATTGGTTTCGACATTGAGTGTCTCATCAGCAGGGTCACGGCTTGCTTTGAACCAACTGTGAACTGTCAAATGTTTACAGCCAGGGATTGGTTTCGACATTTAGTGTCTCATCAGCAGGGTCACGGCTTGCTTGAACCAACTGTGAACTGTCAAATGTTTACAGCCAGGGATTGGTTTCCACATTTAGTGTCTCATCAGCAGGGTCAGAGCTTGCTTGAACCAACTGTGAACCGTCAAATGTTTACAGCCAGGGATTGGTTTCGACATTTAGTGTCTCATCAGCAGGGTCAGAGCTTGCTTGAACCAACTGTCTGCGAACTGTCAAATGTTTACAGCCAAGGATTGGTTTCGACATTTAGTGTCTCATCAGCAGGGTCACGGCTTGCTTGAACCAACTGTGAACTGTCAAATGTTTACAGCCAGGGATTGATTTCCACATTTAGTGTCTCATCAGCAGGGTCAGAGCTTGCTTGAACCAACTGTGAACCGTCAAATGTTTACAGCCAAGGATTGGTTTCGACATTTAGTGTCTCATCAGCAGGGTCAGAGCTTGCTTGAACCAACTGTCTGCGAACTGTCAAATGTTGATAGCCAAGGATTGGTTTCGACATTTAGTGTCTCATCAGCAGGGTCAGAGCTTGCTTGAACCAACTGTCTGCGAACTGTCAAATGTTTACAGCCAAGGATTGGTTTCGACATTTAGTGTCTCATCAGCAGGGTCACGGCTTGCTTTGAACCAACTGTCTGCGAACTGTCAAATGTTTACAGCCAAGGATTGGTTTCGACATTTAGTGTCTCATCAGCAGGGTCACGGCTTGCTTGAGCCAACTGTCTGCGAACTATCAAATGTTTACAGCCAAGGATTGGTTTCGACAGTCAGTGTTTCATCAGCAGTTAGGCTTTGCTCGAAGCAATGCTGGCGACCCAAACTGACCCATGTTAATCGACGCGGGCCCTCACTCTCTGTTAGATATTGGTACCTGATTCTACGCAAAACTAAATACGAAAAATACACAACACAAATGAGTCACCTAAGCATCGTAGTGGAGAATATGTGACAGGATAAATGATCAGATAATGCTGCTAACGTGATGGGATGCCAGCGGTCCGTGTGGCTGATGTTTGAGATGTGGCTGCTGTTTGAGATGTGGCTGATGTGTACGATGCACGGGGCTCTGAGTTACTGAGACATTTAAGCAGCAACGCCACATTAATTCCAACAATTACTATTGTTCAACAGTCATGGGTTATATTGTACTTGTAACGATTAACTCATTAAAATTGATTATTAAGGTTATGAACGAGCCGTGCATCGGATCACGTGTACTGAGAGTCGACCGGTACGTTCTGCCAAATGCGTATGGGACGCACATCTTATTACGTACAATGTCCTGAGTAGTTCATGATGGTGAGAGGTGACAGAAGAGACCAGGTCCGTATAGACGAGAAACACAAAAGCTTGCGTTGTACCCTACAGTGGAATATCACTCGCCGTACTCCAAGAGGTGAGTGGTCTGTGCGGATGTGAATTATCGGAAGTATTCTGTCCAGAGAGCCACTCTGGAATCCAGAGGGTATTCGGTATACTCTTCTGCTGGGTGGGAGGATTTAAGAGACTTGTAGCATTGTTTTAAACTACCTGCCACGCCCGGAGATCGAATCGAGCCGGCGTTCTCTGGATTTGCAAGTCCAGTGTGTGGAAACCAAAAACACCGAGGGGCAGCGTGCCAACTAAATAGCCCACGGAAAATATCTCACAAGTAAAATACACACAAGTAAAAGACAGAGGTTCTCTGCAAGCCATCTGGCTACCATGAGAGATTCGTTCATGAGGCTATCCACATATACAAACACAGAGACAATTTCAACCGAGAAGATGGATTCTGGCTTAGCAATCATTGGAAGGATTTGATAAACCATTTCGGGTCTTAATTGATTGTTCACGCTTACAGTGGCTTTCAGACCGCATCCATTATTTTCGTCTCCCCCCTCCTCTTTTCCGAACATAGATGGACTCGTCCATCTGAATAACTGCCAAATCGCTCTCCGTGGTGATAACGTTAAAAACCGCCACTTTTTCAAATTTTCTTGCTGTGGTTTTCACACTTGATGATGATGGCTTGTGTTGCAGTCGAAACGTCGTGAGAATTTTATTGTTTTATATTTTTATTATTTTATTGTTTCCCTTCTACGTGACTTTACCGAAAGAACCAAGAATATAAAATACACCTGTCAGATACCTGTCAAGTCTCTCACGCTCTGACGAGTCAATACATTTCAGGGAGGCTGACATCATCTTCCGAAAGTGGACACCCAACGCCGCACCTCGCCCTGCAGCCTGAACCCCATTATTTACGCCGAGTCCACGTCACTCCGTCGTCTGATGCGAAGGCGAGGCGCAGTCGCGTTTGATATCCATCGAGGTGTTCAGTGTGCCGAGATAGCTGATTCGCGTGGCTGCCTCTGTGTGATCCGGGCGCCGCGGAGGGGGTCTTGGTGGTTCACCGCACAAGACAGTGCAGTGAAACTCCCTCACCGCGTGCGTCCAATAATTAGGCGGTACGGAACAACAACAA